TATATATATATATATATATGTATATATATATATATATATATATATATATATCAAAGTAACAGTAGGGTTTCTGTGAACATTTTTATCAACTGCTTTCCTTAAAAGCTCGGTTTACCTTTCTGACCATTGTTCATTTTACAAACATATTTAGGGGTGTGTGATGTCACTGCACTTGAAATACATTGATGATTTCTCCCGTCCATGTTACTGAATGTATGGACATGGAAGGGGGGAAGAGCCTGCTGGATCCAGAGCATTGCATCCACAATCCACCAATTGCAGATGCAATATTTTACTGGACCCTAAGCAAAATATTAATAATAAATGCACATTTTGTTCTTTTATGAAGAAGTGTGAATTTTTTTTTTTTTTCAAAAGGTGGAATTTCCATTTTAAGCATAATTTGTAATTACCTGGACGTACTTGTATAGTACAATTCATTAGATTAATTACTAATCTGAAAGAAAAATCTTAACTTTCCCTTATCTTTAAGCAATGCTGGGTTCTGGTCAAGCAAAGCCTGTTTGCTGCATGAGTGATTCTTTCTGTTTTTGCCCCAGGCAATCATGCTGGAGGGTGATATGTCAGCTAATCCTCTGTAATCCTCTTTGTTTAACACACTAGTGATGGTCTTCATGGATCCTCTGTGGGAAAACCTCTCATGTACCCAAGGACATTTCACCTCATGGGTTTAACATGGCCTTTGTTAAGTCCTTCCAACATAACCTTATCTTGTCACGCAAATATGGAAAATGATTTGTGTTGAGCCACTTAGAATGTTTTAACAGCTTTTGCTTGAAAAAGTTAGTAGCAAATCTATTAGGTTACCTTTAATACACATAAGAATAGCAACAAAAAAATGTCTTTAAATAGCCCTGGACACAAGATGGTGGTCGGGTGTCTATACATAATCTGGACACTTTCCATCTCTCAATTAACAGATTACAGTCTATATATACACACTTGTATCATATAGGTATGCTTTCACTCAGAAGCTATAGTCCTATGAGGAATGGGGGAGTTGAGGGCTATAGTCCGCTGATGCACTAAATCGAAGCTTTTGGCTGGCGGTATCAATCATTCAATGCAACTAAAAATAAAAGTGTCCAACCAAAGATCTTCCTTAGTGATATCTCAATCGATTTCACCCCTGCCAAGAGGCTATAGGCTAAGGTGGGATTTTGTTGATCACATCTGACTGATTGAACAAATATCTGTGTATGTCAGGAAAAGTGATTGTAATTGAGATTGATTAAATGATCCTTTTGAATCATTTATAACTGGTCTATATTTTCAGTTGATTGCAGTTTGCAACACAAAACAATGTGTGTTGTCTTATTGATTAATTACTTGTTTGCCGATCACTTATACCTTTTCACTTAATTCAGCAGTGCACTAATTTCTTTTAATATAATTTATATAAATATGTATAAATATACTGACATTTAGGGTGCTTTTAGTTAAAAGCCATCTGAAAACTTTAAAATAATTTTGGTGTGCTAACGATTTTAAACATGTGTGTTTCTGTGTGTATACGAGTGTGTGTGTGTGTGTGTGTGTGTATGTGTGTATATATGTATATGTGTGTGTGTGTGTGTGTGTGTGTATATATATAAGGAATTACACCAGTAATAGCTCTTTACATAAACGTATGAGGCCTTCCTAGAGTTGTTGACATAGTCTGAATTAGACAACTAATTTATGTATCTTCATTATACCTACATATACTTTGTTTTGTTGTTCCAGTATTTGCTAGAAATGAAAAGCTTGATAATGCCTCCAGAACATATACTGAAACGCGGAGACAGTGAGGCTGTGGCATATGCCTTTTTCCATCTTCAACACTGGAAACGGGTAGAGGGTGCATTGAATTTACTGCACTGCACATGGGAAGGCAGTAAGTATGTCTTGTTATTATACTGTACTGTTTGTTGCTTCATTGCTTAGGTTCATAACCTGCCCATCTTAATTAAATTGTCAGCACCAGTGGAATGCTCTGCTGCCTGTATTAATTTCAAAGGGGCCCCTACCACTTGTGCTATTGTTTGAAGTGGGAATACTAATTTAGTTATGTCAATGCACTATTCAGCAGAGATCAAAGAGATCATCCTATCTCTATCTTTCCCAGTAGGATCTGGGTAATGAAGGTTTGTTTTTAAAATTAGACTTGCATGTAACCTTTTATCTTTTTGTTTTTACATGAAATTATGATTTTCATAGCTTTGTTATTGCTCAACAAAAATACTGGAGCATTTATACTGTGCTCGTATTTCAAGCAACAGTGTGCTTAATTTGACTAACATGAACATTACATACTGTTTTATTTATAGTTTTATTGCTTAAGAGAACCAGTTACTATTGGGCATATGCAAGGATCTGAAAACTCCACTTTAGCTTAAGCTCATGCAGGCCTATTTAAATTGAATATATAGTGGTTTTGTTCATATTTTTTATGTCCAGGCAAAATAAAATAAAAAAGTAAAAAATTATATATTTTACATCAGTTTAAATGAAATATTGCACATAAATCGCTTGCATTCATATTTTTAGCCAGCAGGTGGGGCATTAGACTGCTTAGTACTTATTTACTTGCTCCCATTAGCTTTTCTGTTGAGAAAATGTCTGTTATTTACAGACTACAATAGTTTATATTATTTACACACACAAATAGATGACTCATTATTTATCGGAAAGTTCAATTTAAAATTTCAGTCAAACAGAGCCATAAAAACAAGCCTACGGGGAGGTGTTGTTGGTTTAGCCTACACACAGTGCTTTGGGAGCCCTTTGTCATGTATGCATGTGTTTAAAAAGGTTTATTTGTGTGTTGTTCAGTGCATAGATGTGAACCACTCTTGGAAAATTAGGTCATACATGTATCTAAATCTAAGAACGAAAATGTAATAAATTGCAGATTAGCATTTTATTAGTAGTTTTCTTTTTCAGGCTTTGTTTTCTGTTATTTTCACTAGGTGTTCATGTCAGCGACATACTTCCTATCCTAGGGTGACAACACCCACTATGCTGTATCTATAAAGGAGCATCATTGTCACCTTAGGGCAGGAAGTAGTTTTGAACTACAGGACACCTCCCTCTCTCCTCATGTTCTTGCTAGTTCACAGAGGTGAATTGGGCATGGCTGATGACACTTTTGCTGGATTTTTGTCTGGCTCAACAGGTTTTCAAACCGATATAACAAAACACTTGCAATGGTATATTTAACAGCCACAAATGAGAGTGAATAAGAGAAGTTAATTGTTCAGGTTTACCTACAGTTTAAAGACTTGTCAGTGCACTTCCTTCTCTGGGCTTCTATCCTGAGGAGTATTTATATAGTGTATCATATTCACATCTTTCCCGACTGCAAAGCGAAAAGGTGTCTTGAGATCTCTGTGGGCAAGACTGACCGCATAATCTAGTGCAGGGGCGCCCACAATTTTCCGTCTGGAGATCTACTTTTCAAATGATGAGATCTACCAATGAAAAAACACCTGCATTCAGGGGCGGGAGGGGGCGTGGCGGTGCATTGAAGTCAATGGCACCGCAGGCAGGCCCCTCGCGCACAGTGCGATCGCCTGCACCCGGAACCCAGGCACATTAGTGCCTGCGTTCCAGTCCAGTGCGATCTGCAAAAATGCTGCGAGCACTATATTTGCAGATCACACTGGACCGGAATGCAGGCACTAATGTGCCTGCGTTCCGGGTGCAAGCGATAAGGACACAAAGTCCTCAATCCCTTTTTATGCAGCCTCTGTTCTAAATGAATGGAAAGCACACCATGGCTTCCCATTCATTAAGAAAATATTTTACTATTAAGCAGTTTCTGAATGGGGAGGAGCCTCTGTAGTGAGTGCTTCTCCCCATTGAGAAACTCATGAATGAACAGGAAGTGATGTAAATCACATCCTGTTCATTTATAACTGGGGACCCATAGTACTATTGGTCCCCAGTTATTTACAAACACTGGATTGATCAGCTGATCGCTCCATTGTTTTGTCCTGCACAGAGGACCGGTACATATCAATGATATGTACCGATCCTCTGCCGCTCGGCCACGCACTTAGGGGCTCAGCTTCTCCCATGGATCCCCCCTGCTCTCCCGGGCAGTGGCAGATTATGTTCACCCCTGATCTAGTGTATCATAAAGATCTGCTTTACTCCACAGGAGAGAGATGGGAGAGTGATGCATTAAAGTAGTAGTAAAGGCTGGTCGCTTTTTACCTTAATGCATTCTCTGCCTTAAGGTAAAAAACGCCCATATCTTTTTGCGTCCCCTGCCCCCGCTCCCCCCCCACACACACACATGTACATGTGCACGTGCACATCGCTGTCTCCGCCGCCGGTCTCTGAAGCGGTGCACCTTTTCCCGACCTTCCTGGTTGCAGTAGAGGATACTGAGGGCAGAGGAGCCGTAGTAGGCTTCCTCTGCCGTCAGTCAAACTGTTGGGAGGAGAGGAGGGGCGTGGCCTGCCGCACGCTGTGTGTGTGTCTATGGACACACGCAGCTACTTGCGGGCTCGGCTGGGAATGGGCACACACTGGTGTCTCCAGAGCAGAAGCTTAGCTGATGGAGACGCCCATGCAGGGGGCGGGAGGAAGAGCGATGCGGGGACACACTAGAAAATGAGGAAATAAAAATAAATAAATAAATAAACCCAAAAATCTGCATCCCATCAGGACCTCCCACGCATTGAAAAAACCCCAATAAAAAAAAACCTAAAGATTTAAAATCACTTTAAATAAATACTACTTGTGCATATGTGCCTAATCGGAATTATGTATTTAGCCATATGGCTGCACATAGACAGTCAAAGATACCATGCTGTAAAGCTACGATTTTGATCTGCATGGCTCCTGCAGCCTCTTTCAGTAGCTTTTTCTGGAATTTCCTCAGTAGGATAGTATTTAAAACCTACAGCAATGCCAGATCACAAGCTACTTCAAGCCCAACACACATGTAAACTGAGACTGTGGCTGTTAACTTGAAGAGTTTTTTTTTTTTTGTATGCAGCCCTATGGAGCACATTGATCATTGATATTATGTATAACAATAATGAGAAATAAATGTTTTAAGTGTTTAAGCCTAGTTTTATATTTGCAGTGAAAATCACCTTTATTAACTGATAAAAACATACACTGATTATTAACTAACAAAACCTATTTTTTTTCCAACAAAGCTTTTAGGATTCTCCCGTATCCTTTAGAAAAGGGACATCTTTTTTATCCTTACCCTGGGTGCACAGAAAATGCTGACAGAGAACTCTTGCCAGGTAAGTAATGTGACGGTCCACATGGGCATGTCTTTCTGTTTAACAAAAGTAAAAATGAGGCACTGGATACAGATTTTTAAAGGGTCAATCGAATTACGAGTAACGATATATTTTTTTCGGCACTCGCCGTTACTGAATACCAATACCTGAAGTCCCATTAAGGAAGCCAGGCGGCGTGTAATATCTCGCCACCTGGCTTCCTGATTAGCCGGGAAGCCGGGCAGCTTGTAAAGCCTCGCCACCCAGCTTCCCGATTAGCAGGGAAATCGTCCCCATGCTTCTCGTCACTAGGTGACGAGAAAGCATGGAGCCGGCTTTCTGGCCAATCAGGAAGCTGGGCACCGTGTAATGACGCGGTGCCTGACTTCCTGATTGGCCGGGAAGCCGGCTCTATGCTCCCTCGTGATGAGGGAGCATGAAGACTGCTTCCCGGCCAATCAGAAAGCCGTGCGCCGCGTCATTACACGGCGCCCGGCTTCCTGATTGGCCAGCTTCTTGACTCCTGATTTGCCGGGAAGCCGGGCAGCGTGTAAGCCGTCAGGGTTAAAGTGTATCTTACAAAAAACAAGGGGAACACATAGGAGCTTTACGCTAAGTAAAATTGTATAATAATGACCAAATCCAAGGGTTTCAATAAACTTGATTCAAAAAAATACAATCCCCTTTGAACAAGAAATCCCTAAAAGTGGAGATGGTCTGATAAATGGATCACAATGTGTAATTAATATAATATAACAAAGTTTAATAATACTAATTCATATAAAGACACCTATAACAAGACATTTAAAACCAATTAAAAAGCTTCCCTAGAATCACCTGAATGTAAAGATACGGGTATTGAGCATTTGAATCTCCTATGGGGTAGGAAGTCTCTGATATGAGTGAAAAAAACAAAAGAGATATATCACCCAGAAAGAAAAACGGAGCTGTACTCACGTACGCAGCCGGCAAAAAACAGTCCTGGTTAGACCCCACAACGATACATGCATGAAGTTGGTTGTGGCAAGAGAGTATCCTTGTGAAACAATGTCACTGAATGGGATCTATTTCCTTGGTAAACTAAAAAGTGTATCTTAACCTAAAAATATAAATATATAAATGTGGTTTCTGCATTAGCTTCCTTTTTTTAGCCTTTTTTTTTTCACCTGGTGACCCAGCCAGTAACACAGTTCCTGTCTTAGGATGGCTCCGCTCTATGGAGGAGCAACGTAGCCACCCTTAGACAGCAGCATTGCTGTGAAAAGCGTAATGTTAGATGCACTAGCAGATTTAGATGAACTTAACTAACAAATTAAGCTCAACTCCAGCTAACACAGTTACATCAAATGTACTTTTTTACATAAATGAATAACCGCTGACCATTGGAGGCACTCCTGTCAATGTTAAATTTTGTCTCAACGCTATAGCTAACACTTTTGCTGGACAGCTTCGCTCGTTCATGGAAGTTGAAATAAAGTGGAAATGAAAAAACAGACTTACTGGCTACAAAACCCTAAAAACTAAAATTAATGCAGCCACCACATCTAATGGTAAAATGCAATATATAAAATGTTTGCTTTTGGGTTTAGATACACTTTAACAAGTTTGCTGCACTTGTTAACCCTGGCATAACCTGTTTCTGTTGTTGTTTCAAGCAGAAAACCACAAATGTATCTGGTATCTGCTTATTTGAGGTCATTTAAACCTAGTCAAAACTCCCAAGCTGTGATATAGGAGGAGTGTGTGTGGCACCCAAAACATATTGGCCGTTTTTCTAATGTGAACCAATTTTAAAACCTTTGAATTCTTGGACGTTTGTTTGGCGAACTCATAAATTGATATCACATACATATTGAGATTGCGCTACCAGGTTGTGCTTTCAGAGGTACAATGCACTTGTCATCAAATCTGTAGGACATGCACTGTCAATGCTTAACATTTGGATTGTGGTAGTGTACACCATTGTATCTATTATACAATTGGATCTTCCATGCTGCAGGTTTCATAACCAAACAAATATTGATTGGGAGGACAAGTCATTTGCAACTTATCCTATTTTTTTTTATTGTTTAGGTCGCTTACAAACATTGACAGGTTGTTCAGGAAAGGGTGAAGAGCTTGGAGAAGGCAGGAGAAGTGACCAATCTAGGCCAAAATAGCTGATTTGGAAAAATTATCCAATTCAGCTCACTTTCCAGTTCAGCCATGTTGTCCTAGATCGTTCACTTCTCCTGCCTTCTCCAAACTCTGTAACATTGGCCACCCTGCATGCATAGTCTGGCTGCTTAAAGACCGTTCTAAAGAGTGTACCTACATACATGTACCTTTTCTGCAGGTGAACTTACATGTTTGCGCTCATAGAGTCATGGTGCAGAGTGCTGCAGACACTTGCTTTTGTCAGGGGCAGACCATTAGACATTGGCAGGGAAAATGCATTGCAGTTGATCTATACTTACAACAAGCCACTTTGGCTATGGTACATCAGAAAAGGTCTACAGACATTTGGACATTACTAATCCAACTGTAAACAGTCAGATCTGATGAATGTCTTCTTACGTCTGCTAGATATGAAACAGGTCTGATCTGCTCACGAAGGGTCTCTGGAAGCCTTGTAGCAAGATGTCCATTTTCTGATTGTTGTGGTTTCAGTAGTTTGAGCAGCCAGGGAGAGTAGGATACCAATGACCAATAAAGATTTCCACAGAAGGTGTTTGTTAAAAGGAGGTCTACTTTTGTTGATAGTTATCAACCAATCCCTTGTTTTTCTCATGTCCCTCTAGAGTGCAATCTCCACTCTTGAGGAATATTAGAGTGCGTGTATATTTAAGTGCGAGTGGAGATATATCAGTGGTCGAGTGTATATCAGAATAAATCAGTGGCCAAGTGTTTAATGTATACCAATAATATAAAAACCATTAACCAACTGACCATAACTCAAATACTCTTAAGCATGGTGTTATCCAGTGCTTATGTAGTATGCAGCCGGCTTGATTTAGCATCCATGTCTGTACAAATAAAGCTACACAGCACTAAATGTCTGCAGAATAATGGTCCGTATTTGTAAGTTATAAAAAGTGTTGATTTTAGCAGTTATATACTCTTTTCTTTTATACAGGTTTAATGTAGCCTTGCCCAGCAAAGTGTTTCTTTACATTTTTGCCCAGGCACTTGCTGTCACCATGTTTTCAAACAAACTAGCTTGAACTTTCTCAGCTTAGCTTCCATGAGCTTCCTGTCCTGTATAAGATTACAAAGGACAGCAGTCTCCAGCAGCTGTCCATTTACTAGCTTGGAGGAGGGGGAAGCAGGGGAGTGGATTGCCTAGCCGTGTCTGTGTGTTTGTGGAGACACACAGCTTACTCACACACACGAGAGTGGCTCCATAGAACCCTACAAGGGAAAGGAACCACCCTAAAACAGGATATCAGGGCCAGTGTCCAAGAGACCAGCTGATTCTGCAGGAAAAAAAACTTTAAACTCAAGGAACAGCATCCTTTATCAGCATTTAAAATAGCTTAAAAACTGTTTGGCTTTATAGGAGAACTATGGGGTCAGTGCTTTTCCCCATTGTTCTCCTAAGGGTAACGGGAGGATACAAACTAGCGTTCTCCTGTGACCCAAAGCTCAGTATACTGAGACCGCCGCAGCCGGGACGGATCCCGGCATCGCTGTCTGGATTCATCCAGCTGCGTGATTGACAGCTTGCTCTGCCTATCTAGAGGCAGCTGTACCCGCCCCCTCCCCGTCCGTTCCGCCAGTCAGCTCTGGAGGATCAGACAGGGGAGGGGGGAATCCCTGTAGGGAGCCGTGAGTGACAGTCGCGGCTCTCGGCAGGGACAGGATGAAGAAGTGAGCGAGTGACGCTATGTGTTCGCTCACTTCCCGATCTATTGAGCCGACGTGTGACAGTTTAATTGTCACACGTCGGCTCGAACTATGAGGCTGAGTGATTTTCACTCACCTCATAGTTCTCCTTTAATATCACTTTAACTATTTCAAGTAGCACTGTCATGGGCAACATCACTTTTTACCTTTTGCCCCGGTTTTTCCCAATTAACTATTAGTATCTTGACTTTCTGTATTGTAATCATAATCATAGGACTTGAAAGTGTAATCTGTCCCAGTTAGCTTAGTCGAAATCTTGTGTGTGTGTATGTCGTACGTAAATGTAGCAAGAATTTGCCTTCCTTTTCCATATACAACTTTGTTGTTAAACAAGTCACTGGATAACAGATGCCATACAGTTAAATACATGTATGTTATGCAATTTTGATTTTTTTTTTTAACTTAAAATGTTATTTATATTTTATGCCTTACAAGAGAATCTCTAGATGGTCACTAGGTCTCTTGTTTACATGGTGCATGTAAAATCCCATTATTATTCAATTTGTTGCTGCCTTACTTTAAAAAGTTATTGGAAAATACCTATAAAAAAACTGAATAGCAAGCAACTTCACTGGCAATTTCGCCAAGTAAGCGTGTAATCGGACAATTACTTGTGAAACCCGCAGCTCTCCTGCCCATTACAGTGTTGAGTTGCTGAAGTGTCCTCATGGGGAACATCTGTCTTCAGTAACCAAACATTTTCAACTTGTTTGCATTCAAACATGTTCGAAGTCAGATGTATTTTAAACAGACAGCTAACCAAACCACAGCTAAATATTTTTGTTTCTGTTTCTTGGGTGACTGTGATGAGTAGATGAAACATTCTCAGAATATATGTATTTACTTGTTTAATAATAATTTGAATTTTTTCATTGTCATTTTTATATTTTTAAAGCTGAACTCCAGAGAGAATTCAAAACTACACTTGCAGTTGGGCTCTAGCCACACTGCAAGCGTTAAATGCTAATTTTTGTCAGGGGTACTGTTAAATAGCATTTTTACTTGCCTTACCCCTTCTTCCCCGGCAGCTGGTGTTCTGCTCTTCCCTCTAATTTTGGACTGGCCCACAGTGTCCCCACTTACAAAACAGGACTACTGGTCTTGCATTGTACGTGATGACATAACTATGCAACAAA